AATCATGGGCTCCTGTTCCTTTAGTTCAGGGGGCTTGAAAAAACCTGCTGTCAAATGCTGCACCTAGGCCTTGCCTAAGCAAAGAGAAATGTGGAACCAGGGATCAAATCAGCACCAATCAAGTGGCCAATCATGTTTCAGTGGTTATCGGATTTTGTATGGGGATGATGGGCCTGATATGCCTGCTGCATGGAGTTACATTAATGCAATGTGATAGGAAACATCTCTTCTCTGACAAGCACCCGGCTTTATGTTATTCTTTACACCAGAAGAAACTGCTTCAGTAGTGATGATCAGAGCAGTGGTGGTGCTAGGATACTCATAGGCCTGACCTAAGAGGCCATTTGTTGCTCAGTCACAGCTCTAGGTTTAGGCCCTGAGTGCATAAACCACTGTGTGAGCTACTTTGATTCCAGGACAGAACTATAATTTGCTAGTTTTATTTAGCAACAATGTCCCTAAAATACTGAGAAACAGAATCAAATCACCTGGATGGGAATGATGCCTAGCAGTAAAAGTACAGGACTGGATGCTAGAACTCCTGGGCTAAGTACAGATGGTCAAAAAGCCTGAGGCTGAAATGATTCAGTCTTCGCAGGTTAGTCTAAACTGTGTAGATTGAACTGATAAGCAAGTGAACAGATATTCATTTTTGATTCCAGAAATGCGGCCACATGTCTGCAGTGCCTAAGCCAGAAAGCCAGGGAATGCTAGAGCATGCCTCCCTGCTTGACTAGAGGAGGAAGTTGGGCCAAGGCTAGCCCATCCAACCTGCAAGGGGGGGGAGCAGTTTGCAGGGGAGGTGCAAAGCATCCTGGGATGCTGGGGGACTGAAAGTTAACTTGAATCTGGAGGGGATCTGGGACAGAAGTTCAATAAACCAATTAAACCTAAATCAATTAAGCCTGATACTACATCCATCTAGGTTTATCTTAACCTGGTTTCAGCCATTTTGAAAGTGGTTTATGTGCACTGAACTTCTGTTGTGTTATAGATTTGAACCAGTTTCTGATCACTTATACCGGTTTATGTGTAATTTCTGTCCCTAGGCCTGGGTTCCACTCCCACCAGTGCCACAAGCTTGCTGTCTGACTTCATCTGAGAAAGCTGTCCTCATGCATGGCATCTTAAAAGTGAAATGGACTAGAAGTGGAATTGAGTCACTGAGAGCACAGTCAGCAAATCATTAAAAACTCATAGTAACTGACTAGCCTCTCTTCACTGCTCAGGCTAGGAAAAACTGTGTTAGGGGTGAAAAGGAAGTGCGAGTTTTAATAATTTCATGGCTAAAAGATCAAAGATGTGATTTACAACACAGCTTTGGAAACCTGCTTTCTTTAGCATATGCACAGTTAATAGAGTGACCCTTTAAATCTATTAGTGCAGCTACCCTCCAGAAGAAGGTTCTTTTTAGAGAAAAGCAGTGCCATATTCACCCCAGGAGATGCAACTGGTACTGCCCCTCCACTTTGAATCCAAGTGATTCTCACTCCTCTCAGTCCTGCTGATTCCAATCCTCTCG